AATCCATGGCCTGGAGGTGCAGATATCAACATTCCGATCAGGCATGCCCGCTTCGAAGACCCCACACGTCCGAGATTCGAGGTCAACAACCATACTTATACATCACCATCTGTGCCTATCCTCCTTCAGATCTTGCACGGCACCTATGACACTGAGTCGCTACTTCCAGATGGATCCATTTACAAGCTTCCGCCGAACAAATCTGTCGAGTTAGTGATCTATGGAAATGGCACCAACGGCGGTCCAGTAAGCCATCTATGGTCTTTGGTTTGGCAGAGCACTCACGATGGCTTTGCTACAGCATCCCTGGCATTTGCATGGAGTTAGATGACCCATATTTCCTTCTACTCTCTGATTTGCTGATTCTTTCTGTAGCACACATTTCATGTCGTTCGCAGTGGTCGTAGCAACACCTATAACTGGATAAACCCCGTTCGACGAGACACTGTTGATACAGGCTTGGATGATGGCGAAACTACTATTCGTTTCTTCACCGATAACCCTGGACCGTGGTTTCTACACTGGCAAGTGAAGATTATTGAGTTTCGAGGAATTGTCTTGATTAATATCGATACGGTAGCCACATTGATTGGCATCTCCAGATGTAGGTTTCCCGTGTTCTCAATATATAAATTGTAGCTGAACCTTTGTGCTAGTGGTCTTGCCTTGGTGTTTGCGGAAGATCCTGAAGGAACAGGAGATCGAATCAGACCCAGACCCGGTTTGGCCTTTCGCACTTTCCGCTACTGACGTCAGCTCATTCAATATATCTCAGCGGCCTATACAGAACTTTGCCCGAGATTTGTAGCCCATAACCCGGATGCGAAAGTCAATCGTACGGCCATCTATCCAGCCTGGTCGATTGGGGAATGATGATCGAACAACCCCTCGTCTCATGCCCTTTGGTGAGGTAACGACAACTGCTCCTGGGGACAGATCTAGAGTGCAGACAGGACTTTATCGAAATGATATGATCAGATGTAGATTGTTGTTGCGCACCACCACTTTAAGCCTTACATGATCGTCGTCTCGACATGCTATAAGAAAACCTACCTGTATATGCCTTTCGCATCTCCAGCAGCAGAGTTATTTCGGACACTTAAGCTTCGCAGATAATAACTACTAGTAAGTAGGACAAGTATAGCATAACGACCTAGAAAGCCTGGTCTCACGTCATTTCCCTCAGATTATTGAGGTCTCGTCTACGCATCTTGCTCAAAGTCGTCATGTACTTATGCGGAGACTCAGACTACAATTATTGAGAGACCTTACATTCAATAATGTCCAAGGCCCTATATCATCATTTTCTTGCAAAATCATGTTTGACTCCTTCACTGTGGTGTCTTATCAAAAAGAAAAAACTCGGACTTATCCTCAATAGCTCTTTGCCTGGGAGTCGAACCCAGCTTACGCGCGGACGAGCGTCGATGAATGACAGGCGCGTGTACTAACCGATATACTAGCAAAGATTACAATGGGGATCCCTCTTTGCATACCACAATAGGCCTATCCAAGCTTTTCTCGGGCGATAGATAAAAATGTGAACGGGCAAAGCAATAATACAAGGTTGATAACTCAGATAAGGAGACACTGGGTTTGCTTTTCGGATATGATGCATTGATTCGGATCAGATCTAGATTTTTCAGGTTGTGCCACCATGTCATCTGCCTAAATCCCCTCATCGCCATATGTCTACGCGTTCACTGTATTCAATGATACATCCCACGCGTCCGTTTGATTCGCGCCTTGGGATTTCCTTGTTCTGCTCGCCTGGTGCTCCGCAAGACCCAGGTGCATTCCAAAGAATACCCTTGACATGTGTAGCCTCGCCGCTCGTCATGGTGAATCAGTGGTGAATATTATGGAAATGTGTAAAATGAAGTCGGATGCGCTCTCTTGGTCAAATCAAGGTACACATCTACTAGTGGATAGCAACATCTAGGGATCGCATCTCGATATATCTCAAGTCCACTTCCGGGTTTTCCGACCAGCGATTTCCCGTCTACCCGAAAAACATCGGACAACTGCTATACCAGTGCTCGCAAGTACAATGGGGCGTTGATTGAATCAGTTAGGTCATATTATGAAACCTTTCAGCAAGGCTGTTTATATAGGGATGGGATTGCTGCTATCTAAGCCTTGGACCCATTATCTTCTAAGGCTCATATCATCCTTCTCGAAGCCATGTTTCTAGTCATCACAGCTGCTTTGGTAAACAGTATCCAGCTGCATTGTCAATACGCTGAACATCTTTATCATCTTTTAGCTCACGCATCTCATTTTCAAGACCACAGAGACGAATCGACCCATTCATCTTGGCATTCTCCTCATTGTTGTTCCTTCTCTTCTGACCGCTATAGTTGCGCCACACTGGACCTCCTATCTGAAGACTGCAGCTGTCGTTTTCTCAACATTTTACCTCACACTTACTTCCTCCATCGTAATCTACCGACTATCCCCCTTGCATCCTCTTGCAAGACATCCAGGGCCGCTCCTATGCAGAGTCTCCAAGTTCTACATGGCATTCCTGTCCCTAGGTGGAAAGCAACATATCTATTACACACGCCTTCATGAACGATATGGGGACGTTGTCCGCATTGGTGCGTCTACCGTGTAATTCTCTGTTCGATATTAATCAGGCTGCTCTGCGGCAGGCCCCAATGAACTGTCAATCCGTGATATCAATGCAATAGGCCCTATCATGGGGCCACATGGCTTTCCAAAAGGACCGTGTACGTAACTCGTTTGCATCGATGCCACCAACGATTTGATCCTTGGACACAGTCTGGGATGGTCGGATCGCGGCATCCGATACAAAGGCTTTGATAGCACTGCGAGATAGCACGGAGCATACACGACGCAGAAAACCATGGACCCGCGCGTTCAACACCGCTGCTTTGAAAGGATACGAGGAGATCATCATCAAACGCTGCACTCAGTTTGTTGAGGGTGTTGACGCTGAAAAAGGCGCCGCTGATCTCTCAAAGTGGATCTCCTTTTTCACGTACGTGCTTTCTTCATTCCCTTTTTAAAAGGCCTGCTGATACACGAGTATCAAAGTTACGATTTTATGACTGATTTTGCGTGAGTTATTTTGACTGCGTATCTCCGATAAATTTTTTAACGATCAATAGCTTTGGCGGAGGTGTGGAGATGATGCGTGATGGAGACGTTGATGGGCTGTGGCACCTTTTAGAAGCGGGGCAGAAGTAAGATTATTCTAAGTAATGAGAGATCAAAGTCTTAATGATCTTATTACACAGGACATCTGTTTTCATGACCCATGTACCATGGTTCGGTCAATTGTGCATGGGTCTTCCTGGCCTTGCCGAGGATATTAAAGCATTCATCGAGCATTCAAAGCGGTGCGCGATTGAGCGCGCAACCCATGGATCTGAGTACAAGGACCTCTTTTATCATATCGTACGTATGTCCTCGATGCTTAAGGTGCATCGTCCTAATTTTTGCTTCTTAGATGAACGAAGGTGGCGAAGACGCGGATCCGACCACTATTGAGGAAGCCGTCAGCGATGGTACGAATCCTTTTTGTAAAGCAGTCGTCAAAAATACTGAACATCCAGTTCAGGTGCCGTTGCAATCATCGCCGGAGCGGACACCACCTCCAGCGTCCTCGCAAACTTCATTTATTTCCTACTGGTCAATCCTCAATCATACAAACGCGTCCAATCCGAGATTGATACACTAGGAGATGAAATCATGGATTTTGGAAAACAAGCACGACTTCCGTACCTAACAGCCGCATTGTGGGTTTGCATAAGCCCTTGCTTCACACTATCTTATCCATTGACGAATGTGATAACTTATATAGGAACGAAAGTCTCCGTCTCTACCCACCCGTTCTCAGCGGTAGCCAGCGACATGTTGACACTGGAACGGTCATTGGAGATTAGTACGAATTGATGCCTACAAACTTTCTTCCTACTCGCCTCACGATATTTTCTAGTTTCGTCCCAAAAGGCACTAACGTCTTTATTCCTTCTTTCTGTCTTCAGCGTGATTCCCGGAATTTCTCTCCTCTCCCGCATCAATTTATCCCTGAACGCTGGCTCTCCCCAGAGTTACAAACCGAGCTCGAACCGAAAATCTTCAACGACTCGACAACTGCGACCAAGACAAACACCGTAGCTTTCATTCCATTCTCATATGGTCCATCAAATTGCGTAGGAAAGAATCTGGCATGGATGGAAATGAGGATGTTGGTGTGTTTGCTATTGAGCAAATATGAATTGAAGTTTGAGGACGGGTATGATATGACCCGGTGGGAGGAAGAATTACACGATTATTTCGTGACATTGAAGGGGAAATTGTCTGTAGTGCTGACACCTAGGATGCAGTGATGCATTGCGCTAGAGAGACAATGGGGTTGGTAATATTACCAGAGAATACAATCGTATGCCATATATTCGTATTTTAACGATGGGTCCTCCCGTAATATATCTCTATATTTACTTGCCTGTTTTCAAGTTGTTTGATTCGATTTCAAGGCTTGATAGCCCTTTCTACCTCCGTTTTCTTCTCGTTATTTCTATCGAATCTGCGGAATGATTACAATGCCACATCGTTTTACCCCAGTTAGGACTTGAAACAGCTTCAACCATGTCAACTTCGACTGACATATGGAAGTATAATAGGCATCGCCCACAGTGTTCAATAGTGACGAAATACTAACTCCCTGGACTGGAGGAGCTGAGTTTGAGATGTAGTGTGATCCTGAAAGTAACTAGTAGGCATCTAGTAGATGTTGTCCGCGACTTAAAAATGTACAGACAAATCCAGCGATGTTTCAAAATAATCAAGGAAAATACGCCAGTAGAGTAGTATGATGTGTGGAATCCTGCATGACACTAATAATATACATCTATGTGCTCTTGAGCGAATTTAACAGAACAGATGCCTCTGGCGAATGCGCTTTGATTGAGCACTTGAAGGGTTTAGGTTGACTGGATAGGGAAAGAAATGCCAGTAAGGTTCCGTACGTGCAGCACAAAACGGACAAGATCTCACCTTACGACCCCATTCCGAGGTTGAAATCCTGGCTTAATCGCATTTCCGTGGTTGTCTATAGCATTGGAGATGTCAAGCACAGCAAGTGACATGGCTGCCATAATAAACAACGATCCATCTGCTAAAACTCGTCCTTGAAAACATTTGCAGCGTCAGGTCATTTACAAAGAATCAAAAATACAAAGGAACCCACCGGGGCAGATCCTGCGGGGATTGCAAGGAGTGGAAATTAGCTTTGAAAGGGATGATCACCACTCCTTTGGCTTACCGCCTTCCGAAACCAAATATAATGTCGTACACATCTCTTTCAGGTACATGGTCCTCGGTGACAACGAATCTAGAAGGGTTGAAATCGAAAGGATCCTTGTATGTGTCGGGATCATGAAGCATATTCCTAGGCGAGGTCGATGAGTTAATTAGTGAAAAGAGCCAATGAACATGTGAGTACCATAGATTTGCGATAATGATTGATCCTTTGGGAATTAGATAGCCATCATAATAATCATCTTCGACGACCATATGGGGTAGCCCTAGACCAGTTGAATTACAATTGGTGAATTTAAATTTAGAAGACATACCGTTAGGAACGATTGTGTAGACACGGAAAACCTCACGACAAATCGCATCAATGTAAGGGAGGCTTGGGCGATCCTCAAAGGTTGGAAAGCGGTCGGTGCCCACCACTGCTTTAATCTCTGCACGAGCTTTAATTTGCACCTCCGGATGCAATGCCATCAAGATAAAGAAAGCCTGGATCATTGCTAGGCGCTAAATTGCCCTTATAAGCCATATTTCATCAAACGCCACATTAGCATACCGTTGAAAATCCACCAGCGGCAACAGAGCTCGCGTTCCATAAGAAGTGACGAATATCTTCCTCGGTGGCGTCGGACGTCAAAAATGTTGACAGAAAGCTGGTGGCGGTTGGCTGCAGTACAAGTCTTCAGGGCACCGAGAGTAAGCACCGAAAGGCAGAAACTCACCGACTTGTCTTTAACTTGACTATACGGGCCTATTGCCATGTCCATTAGGACCTTGCGCCCCGCCTCTGCTTCGGAATGAAATCCACCCCCCGGGAACCACGATGGCAGATGTTTGACTAAACACGATTGTTAGATCTAGATTCGTTGATGCCGAGTTCAAACGTCCCAAAACGCACGGAAAGGAAAAACATCGACAGCAGATGAAAGAGGAGCGGTGACCATTGAGAAGTTTTCCATACCACGATCGAGCAGACTGACAAATTCGTCTTCTTTGTCGGTAACGTCATAACCGTACACAATCTTGAGAGCAACGGTGCCGACGTGCCTTGAATGTGATCGTATAATGAGTATGGAAACAGTACGCGGAGAAATTCAAATACAACTGACTTCTTGATGTACGGAATAAGATCGTCGGGGCTCGCATAGATATTGTTCAGGAAGTCTTGTACCGATTGCATCTC